ATGTGTACATAAGCGATGGGTATTGAGGCTTATCACAGGCACCATCTCCACAGTAGGTAATGTGGTAGTGACTAAACCGCTTCCACAGTAAAGATGGGGAGGAGAGGGAGAGAGATACTGAGGGACATTATCCTCTCTCACACAATTATGCATCCAATACCCACTAACACTTCACTCAGACCCAGGCAACATCGAAAATTACGAAAATGATCAGATTATATTGTGTCCTATTTGGAGAAAGACTGTGTAATTCATGCCTATTTTCTCGGAGAGGAAAATTTGTGAGTTTGCAAACATTAACCCAGTACCGGGGAGCAGTATGCGACAACCATGTAGTCCTACCAAAAATACAGTAAAGTGGGATGGTGGTATGAGCCCATTCCAGACGGGCTTCTCACCTCGCCTTTTACTCGAAAAAAATATGCCATCAAGATGAGAAGTAACAACAAGTTATCAACACGGATGCCCTTGCTTTTAACAAGGACGATACCTTCTTGGTCACACGAATTTGATCCAAACGTTATCCTCACAATCCCTGACGTTGTAATCACATTTGGGCACACAAATTGTCACATAATTTAGCATTGTTCCACTCGCGAAACAAACATTCATCATCGTTTCCTTTTTTAACCTCCCGCCCTTCAAGGGAACGTCTGGGTTTTTCATGCCAGTTCTACGAAATTTGTGTCCATATGACAAATAGACCGATTCCCTATTTGCAATAAAAATGCGAAACCACTAATACGTGGTAGACAGGTTGGATTACGTCTACCTATCCAAATTTATTGCCTGCAAAGTTTTACCTCTCAAATAAGGCAGAATGGAGAAAAATTTCCCCCAAAAGTCACGATTTACCGTATGTTAGTTTTACGAACCTCCAGCACCTTGATTTTCAACTTGCCTGGGAGTGTGCGACACTCGCGAAGCAAAGGGAAATGATGTTAAATAAATGGCAAAATTAAAATAAGAAAATACAGTAGCATTTGCTCTCAAGGATTCAACAGAGTGTATTAATATAACTGACTAAAGGGAAAGAGAATGTCATGAATCCATCACGGTGTTTCACCGATGGGGAAAAAGGGTATCAGGTGGGTAGGCAGAGGGCGTACTGGGCCTACGCCAGACCGAGGTCATAGTCGCTTTCGTGCGGAAGGCGGAAAGACTTGGACTCTAGCGCACCGCTATGCAAATTTGCATGCTCGTTTGTTTGTAGAAGATGAAAGAACTTTCAGGTCTTAGAGTGGTAAGTAAACATTAACCACGCAGGATTGTTTTTGTATCTTAAAATAGATGCGTCCTCCGTTCATCAGGGTGTGATTGGTCCTACTCAGTAGTTTAAATCTGATCAAGGAATTAAAACTCAATAATTCAAAGTAAATGCTCTAGAGACATCTCAAAATGCAACAAAATCGACAGTCAAGAAGTCCAAAGCTATATGCAAATGCTCTGTGGCGTAGGTCACGCAACCCTCTGGAGGGAGTTACCCGTTAGACGACAGGCAGATACCAATAAAATACCTCACTGAGATGAATTGTTCATTGAAATAAGCACCAACAACTTCGAACACTCACCTCCTTGTAGCTTCCATTTTGCATTCGTCGTACAGCATTCAGGACCTCGCCCTGCATTAAAGTGTCACTGAGAGGATCCAAGTCACATTTCGCCAGTGATGTGACTATGTTGTTTGATAGGCCCGTCTACATCGAAAACAACAGCCCAATTAAACGAGTACCCAACGTGGCCACACCTATGGATGGTCAGTGAATGATGTCCATTTTGGGCGGTTAAATCATCACACGCAAAACTACACCCACAACTTAGCCTCCATGGCGGTGGCAGATTTGCTCGCTAGGCCTGTCCGATTTCGCATGACGGTGATGAAAATGAAATTTTTTTCGTGTAGAGGGATCTGAGGTTACTTGAACCAAAGGAGCTGTCAGGCCAAATTTGTCAGTGTTTTTTAGCTCTCTCAACTCTTATTTACATCACTGAGACAGATAATGGGGACAACTTGCACCAAAGGAGGCAAAAGAATACTTACACTGCTAAGCGATCAAAAAGGTGAAAGGACTGAGGGCAGGCGAATAAGTTGTGCAGAAATGAAGGATCCTATCCGAGTTAAATTCAAATTGTACCAAAATCAGAAGCCAAGAAAAACCGCACTTCGGCCAACTTTTCATCTCCCAGTTTAGTAATGCAACTTTCATCGCCTTCTTTCTCCAGTTGACTGTGTGCGGGTCGTCAAAAAGTTCCACCGCTTTCTCTGCCTTAAACACGATTAAAAATTATTTTGATCTCTCACTCGTACGACGCGCAATGCTCAATTTTGTGAGGAAGTCGTTACTGTAATGCGAGAGAATATAAACCACTCCTCTCTCCACGTACTACATCTTCTTCAAGTGTCGTTTCCAAATTCCTCATAACCAGATACAAGTCCTCTGGCATCACATGCGTCAGATTCAACTGACATTCGATGTGAAAGAAGCGCAATACAAAAATGACATCCTGGCGATCACAAACCGACTGCTCTGTAAAACATATCTAGATGCACAATTAAATATTTTACAAGTTTGCAAAAAGGATTTTGTGTATCCAAAAGCTGCTTTGAAACCCAACCACTGCATGAAAAATGCCCGCCGTAGAACATAACCATATTCCAAGTGATGTCCAGCAAATAAGTTCCTGCAATATGGATGGTAAAGAGGACACAGCAGATGAGTTCTTGGATATCTACGTGATGCATTTCCCTCACAAAATTAACCTCAATTCGCGATAGCCGCTGCAAACTGACAATCATTGGGAATGCCAAAATCGACTTCCAAAATCAAATGAGATCGTACTTTGTTAATCATTACAGTTGAATAAGTCTTTCCAATCTTCTTCAAACAGGCTTTCACGCTATAAGCTTTTCAATAAAGCGTCTTTCAAAATCACGGATATGGTAGTTCCTTCAGAGGCGACTCCATCAGGAGACCTTCCATCGAGATGCTGATTAAGGAGGCATACTAATACCCAAATGCCAATGGGAAAGTCGGTAATGAGGCATAAAGTGCGTGAGATGTGAAATCTACGTTTGTTGACTAAACAAATCTGCCTCGAAGAGAATTTGCACAAGCGTGAGAAAAGCGCATATGACACTGTAAAGGTGAGGAGTCTCAATAACTCACACAAGGATACCTATTTTTGATGTGAAGAGAACCTGTGGGACAATTTCACGCCGTACAAAGGACATGAAAGAGCTGTTCAGGTTTGGAACCCATGCAGTACTCCATTCACCCCTTTAATAGCTGGATAAACCCCAGATAATTAGGACTACGAAACTAGAAACAAAGTGCCAGGAAGGAATGAAATACTCTATTCATATTTCCTCATGTAATGCGCCTACCTTTATGGCGACGGTTTTACGACTGGGGATGGGATGGAATGACAGCCAGCACGGTTCTAGTGGAATTATCAAGAGGAATCAGCAACGCTACAGCAAGTTCGCTGATTGATGTAACCAGTCCGTGAATACCTCTTTTGTAGCACTGACCAGGTTGCATTGACCAAAGCTGAGGGTTGACTGGGGTGACCTCCAGAGCCTATGTAATTGCTTTAAGCGTTCGCTCAGCTCTTACTTTTGGTTTCGCGGACATAAAATGGCCTAGAGCGCATTTGTGCATTGGCAGTACTTAATCTGCCCTGGTACTTTACTTCTTTCCATTGAGAGAAAACTAGGGGAGTACAAAGAACGGACTCCAAATGAAGGAATCCATTTGAACGAAGCTAATAACCCGCAAGTTTGTTTACTAGGATACGCCTGTTACGATTTAGCATAGATCTGATGGCACTGTGTTTTGTCAGACCGATCGCGTGCGAAAGCCAAAATCAAGGTGCATCAATTCAGACAGAGAATGACAAATCTGAGGGAATCTATGCAGACAAAGCATACATAAACTGTAAGGCACATTTTGTAGCCTTGGAGATAACGAAAGCATTTAAACTTTAAATAATTGTGTCGAAAGAAATACCATTTGCAGACATTCTTAAAGAGGCACTGCCGTTTACTTCCGACTAATGCCTCAAAGAAAGGTGAATTTGAAGAAAAACTGAACAGAATTAATCCTTTATCGGTAACTTTTATTTGCGAAAAAGTCCCACTCAATTTCTAAAGGCTAAATTTGAGTGTAAACAAAAAAAGCCACAAATCAAATAGAAAGGGGATGAAAATAACTCTCATTTTAAGGAAATTAAAGTCATTTTATAACTTGTAATGTCGATTCAAACCTTGCTCGAATTTTCAAGAGTTCTGAACTGTCACTAAATGCTGGAACGTCAACAAAAAATACCTCGTCTTGCGAGCATTAAATCCTTGTCGCCAGCCGATGTAGAAGATTATGCCTTGCATAAAATATAGGAGAAAATCAATTTTAGAACTTCCACTGTGCCTCATAGGGCTAAAAAACCCAGCCGCTGATGCCAGAACACATTTTTGTCGTTCATGTTTATGGTAAAAGGGCAGAACAAGATCAACATTTACCAACTTCATCCCTAAACGAGCCTTCGAACTGTTCTCTGATAATGTGGTTTGTTAAGAAATATGGGGAAAGTAAAGGATGCCTACCAAGTCCAACGGTTCCCAAGACCCACTTCTAGAGGGTCTGATCTTTGCCTTTGCAGCGCTTTGATCTTTAGCAGCAGAGTTGTGAGAAGGATTCGTGCCGTCTGCTGGCAGAACAGTCGAAGATGGAGGCGGTGGTGGTGGTGGGACCACCTTTGAATTCAAAGCACAGATCAGAGGTCCCAAGCGCAGTCCACCTGCACTGCCGTTACGAAATCTGTCTTTGCTCTCCGCCTCTGCTTCTGCTTTTGGTTCGTCCTCCACATTTAGATCCTCATTCTCCTTTTCACTTGCATCAGAATCGTCCACGTGGGGCAGGTTCAGGGAATTCAAGTCAAAACTAAAACACACAGATCCACATGCCCAGTATGAGATTTAAAGTGAAATCGAAGGCAAGGCTCACTTTATGGTGACACGGATTAAATATTGGAGGTTTAATGTTGCAAACTAAGTGCGACATAGCATCTGCCTCAGACGATTTTGAGTGGATTTTAAGATTGACAATATTGATTCTCATGCTGCCGTTTAATCAGAAAAACTGCAAAAAACGGCACTAAGAGATGGATATTTGCACCCTTACCGGTGTTATTCTTATGTGGAGAATTGGTAAACATGAAATGACACTTCACACTTCCTTACTGCAAAAATAAAACTTATGGTCAGCTTGCAAACATTAAATCGACTTTTTACTTAAAATATCCAAAAGCTAGCAAAAAATGCTGAGGAGCATTGAGGGGGTAGGAAGAATAAGGCACGAAAAGCAGTGGAAATTAAAGATGCGAGACAGCATGTACACAGAGTAGGAAAACTAGAGGATCCTATTTAGTCAACACGGACCTTTTAATGGTTGGAGGATTCCAGGGTGGAACTATGCAGGCGCAACCAAGGCCACGCAAAAAGCCAGAGCTGTAGAGGAAAGAGAGAGGACGAAGGAGTCACGATGGACCATGGAAAAGGAATGTCTACTTGGGCACCTAATGATCACGCAATCTTGCAATTGTGTTAATTTAACAGCACACGATACCACCTAGTGAGCACAAACTATGGGCTCTTAAGTTTCTCTGATGAGCGCCTCAGTAACCATCTGGGCAACCAATTGGATGAGTGTTGGTTGTGAGAATTGAAATTTCTTGAAAGGGAGACGGAGGGAAAGGGGAATGCCCATTAATACCTAACAGGGCGTTGAGATGCACCGAGACGCATGACAATGGATTTCTGTGTGAGCAAGCAAGAAACTTACCAGCCATTCAGCTTAGCTCCATCTCTTGGAGGTAGGTCTGGTGGAAGGGGTGAAGGGAGAGACATTGGAGATGGTAAAGTTGCATCAGGACTGTCAATATTGGAGTAGATCGACTCCTCCAGCTGCCCGTTGCCAATATTGGTGATAGGAGCCAGCTGAACGGCTTCCGCCAGAGAGCGCAGATAGGCGTTCAACTTGGCGTCAGCACGGATGTTAGTGTAGCCGGGTTCAAGACAGTCTGTCAGAGGGCTGGACGGCAGATCAGCTAGTGATTCGCCAGCACTCCAGCGGGGCGATTCCAGAGAAAGAGGAGGCTTGGGAGGTGGAGGTGGTGGAGGACTATCGCCAGTGGGTTCCATTTGTGACCACAATTGTGCTAGAAGGCGTCGATCCTCTAGAGTTAAGGCTCCACTTGGAGACTTGGGACACTTTGCTATGCTGTCTGTTGATGGCACCGCCAATGGAAGTGTCGAATCCGGCTTGGAGTTTGATGGTGGAGTTGCACGAGGAAAGTGAAATAACAAGAATCCGGACTGTTTGGCTTTGGTCCTGCAGTGGAATTTATGCCAATAACATCATAACCAATGATAAGATGTAGTCTAGTTGCTAAGTTTTATGATCAATTGTGCGTTTTGGGAATTTGTGAACATGGGAACTTGAAATTTCATCATACAGATTTCCATTCACGCCTAGCATAGCATGAGAAAACTGCTGAGTTTTATAGGCTAACATACAACAACAGATTGTAAATTTACATAACCCACGCAAATTTCACACGTTTTCAAATCTACAAAAGCCGTTTTTAACGCAATTAGTGCCTTGCTCTCCTAAATGGCACATTTCCACGGCGCTTGTGCATACGTGTTATGAGGAGCTGGAGAGGAAAGAAGAAAATGGACATTTTCAAGGTATAAAAAGGGGACAGGACCATCGCTAACACTGTCAATGAAGATATGAGAGGAAGTACCATTAAATCACAAGTTTGGTTAATTTTGCGAACTGTAGAAGGAAACCAAATGATCAGCTACGCCCAATTATACGGCCACAATTACAAGTGATGGCCCCAAAACCTCCAATGAAGCAAACTTACATTGGGCTTCGTGCTCCGTTTATACACGAGAGAGCCTGCGGTGTCGTCGGTCGCGAGCATCCCGAAGCCTCCAGACTGAGGAATACCGACTATGAAAGGGAGGAAGGATTGCTCAAGCTTAAGACAAATTCATTTTCGCCTGGTTCTGGACTGAAGAGGGAAAATCAGCATAAGAGGTTCAGTTTACTAAAAATAAAACGCGCATTATTCCCCCTTAAAAGAAAAAA